ACTATGTGTAAATTTGTGTAGCATGTAGGGAGGTCTCATTTTGTTTTACACATGAAAATCATAGTAAAGGGTTTCTTAGAAAGGAATTTGAAGATTTTAATTAACTGAAAATAAGCAATTTACATATTAAGCAGATAAGCAGTTTGCAGACAAGCAAAAAAATGTTTTATTTCCACATCTGCATTCTGGCTGTGTTTTAGAGTGTTAAAAGGCGGTAGGGAGTAAGAGGAAAGGAAGGAATAGAAACGAAGAACAGTGCAAGTATTCTGGCCCAGCTGGATAACCTAGGATTAGTGGAAATGTCTTTTTGCAGCAGACCTGAAAAACTTTTGTGATTCATATGCATGTGTGCTTTCATTTTTACATTTTTAAAGAGTCCGTCTTCGAAAGCAACTTTGAGCAAGCCTTTATCCAGGYGATCAGCTAAAATTAATATTTTCTGTCAAGAAATGTTGTCTGGATGAAAATGGAGGATTTGCAGCAATTTTCTAGAATATATGGAAACTTCTTGTGAGATGACTGCTTGCGAGATAGGTCAGTGGCTGATGCACACACTGTAAATCTGACGTGCTCTGGATATGTCTTACTCGCTGTGCGTATTTCCATCAGCCACATCCTRGACAGGATATGGGGCACTTGTGATTTAACAGACACAGGTCTCTGTGTAGTATTGTCATATATTTTACTGGGAGGAAGGAAATASTTAGAAATGGTCTTAGAAGTGAATGTTATGTCACATTCTAGTTATTACCGTTTGTTTAGAAAGTGTTATCTTGTTGCGAAAAGGTTATTTTTAACAGAAGTGAAAGTGGTTGAGAAAGCTAATCAGTAATGTGGAGAAATCTGAAGAAAAAAATCATGGCTGTCAAGTTGGAGAAATAGCTGTATGAAAGGGGATATAATAATAAAGTGGGGAAAGCTCTAATTAACATAATTGTCAGCAATTATATGGAATTTCAAATTATTTATATGCCTCTAGTACCAAAATAGCCCTTTCTTTAGATCCCTTTAAACTTAAAAACTTCTAATAATGTCTGCTTCTACAGCCGGAGCTGTAGCTGGAGCTGTGAGGTGATCTTATTAACATGTATAAATACATGAAGGGAGATTGTAGGGAAGAGGGGCCCAATCTTTTCTCAGTGGTGGCCAGTGGTAGGACAAGGGGTAATGGGTGCAAGCTGAAACACAGGAGGTTCCATCTCCAGGTGAGGAGGAACTTCTTTCCTGTRAGGGTGMCAGAGCCCTGGCACAGGCTGCCCAGGGAGGCTGTGGAGTCTCCTTCTCTGGAGATCTTCCAAAGCCGCCTGGATGCCGCCCTGTGCCCCGTGCTCTGGGTGTCCCTGCTGGAGCAGGGGGTTGGACTAGATGATMTCYAGAGGTCCCTTCCAACCTTTAAGATTCTGTGATAACACAAGAACCCTGGCTTGTGAGCAGTGCCATTTAGTAAGGCAGTTGGAAGGGAGTTCTGAGCTCGACTGCAGAAGGGCGGGAACATGGAATGGGAGGAGGTCGGCCACATTCCTGCACTGCCTGTGGACAGAGCACTGGGGGTCTTGGCTGCTTAGGAGCGTGCTTGCTTGGAATGACCAACACTGGAATGGCATCAGGGTGTGATTTGGGCTGCCTGGGCTGGGGAAGGGGCTGGCGGCAGGTCCTCAGTGCTGTCRTGTGACACTGCGTGGGGAGCCCACGAGGACCGTCCGAGGTGGCTCCCTTCTCGCTCAGTGAGGAGCGAGCGCTTCGCCCTCCTCCTGCCAGGGTGAGTTTGCATCTTTTCCTGCTCCTGGCAAGGATGCAGCAGCTCCCCGGAGGAGAATGAGTCAAAAGACATGACCTTAAAGCAGGGCCTTTGTCAGCTGGAATATGGGCAAGTCGGTTTGAGATGGTAGGAATGATTATTGCTGAGGCTTTAGTGTGTGGTTAAGGATTAAAGGCGTCCTACTTCCCGTCAAGATCTTAAGGCATTACTAGTTGTTGTGACCTTTATATTATGGCTTACAGTGATATAAAAAAAGTAAATTTCAGTATGAAAATAAGAGCATGGGTATGGAACSTGTGTATAAATAGTTTTCATCACTATATGAGGAGACCAACATCAAGGTGTTCGCTTTTCTTAACTAGGGCAACGTGTCCACTCTACCTAGAGCTCTTCATTGCATAGCCTGCAATTTGGGAATGTTTCCCAATCCTTCTTCATTCTGTAGTAAMTGAAATATCCAAACAGTTTCATAATGTTACCTTAGCTTATAATTGGATACTTAAATGAGAAAACTGCTTGAATAAATAAATAAATATTTTAGTCACCTCTCTAACTTTTTTTTTTAAAATGTAATTTCTAACCAGGCAGAAGGTCTTTGCAAGCACAGATTGGGAGCTGGGTATAACTCCCTTATCTGTAATAAACYGGTCAAAATAGTGTATCAGGAAGAACTGAGATTTCCATAGGGTGAATTTTCATTTGTTTGTTCATGTTTAGGAGCTGAGTATCAAAAATAATGCAGAGATTGTTCTGGGTGTTGTAAGGGGATGAATGGACTTAGTTTTGCAATCATATATGTCTATGTCCCGATCGCATACAGAGGAAACTTAGGGTGTTAGTCTCAGAAAATATAACTACATACCAAGCACCAGAACTGTGCCTTAGGGCAGCCTTACAAGAGTTAAGGGAATGTTTGTAGTTTCTATTGATCTGTTGACTAATTGGGTGTAATGGTAAGGTATGTTGTACCACGTCATTTCACTTGGGTGTTCTTGTCTCTGTAAAAGACCCATTTTTTTTTTGGCTCAGTTCATTTAAAACTTGGGCCTGTGTTTTAAAGGTCTGTACTGGGCAGTGTTTGAGTTTCCTTTTGGGAAAGAGAAAATTGGAATATTTCCTGTTGCTCGGACTTAAGATCCTAAGTGTGAGTCTATATGCAGCCAGGCAGGTGCTAKATCTTCCCCATCCAGCCCTAAACATGCAGATCCACCTGGCATAGTGCTATGTGCATGCACTGGGTTTGCTTCTCTGCTTCTGTAGTGTTGCAACCAGAGCACTAACTAAGCAGTCCCTGTGTTTGATTTGAGCTTTTGAGCTTCCTTCATAGCACTAGGCAAGCGTGAGGATGACTTTTGATCAGTGCCAATTCCATAAAGCTTCTGTTTTATGTTCTTTTGGTTGGTTTAGGCACACAGGATGTGAGCACTGCAGTCTAAAGCCACACTGCTGGTGGCAGCTGCAGTTTGTCTCGGGCAGAAAATGACAAGTGCTTTTCTTCAGCCTCTAAGTCCATAAGAAAATCAGTATTCTCTAGCTGACTTAGACAATGGGAAAATAGTGAAACTTGGGAAAACAGGATAAACTGCAGAACACTCAGGCATTTTCCCATAACTTCGTCATGTATTGCGTGTAAAAAGATTTATCTGCCCCTGCTTCCAATTTGTAACAGTTAGCCTTAACTTATGACCAAGCTGGCACTTAAATTTGATTAATTGGATTTGAAGGGTTTGTGATTGCAGTGTTCTTCAACTGACTTTTTAAGGCACTTCCATTTATGACTTTTAGCTCAATTTTCTCTCTGATTTTCTCTCTCTGGTAGGTTGGTATAGAAAGGGAACAAAGATTAACTTTTTCTCTTCCCCTTTGACTGGCAGTCTGAAAATTTAACTGAAGCAAAAGCTGAAATTTCTTTAAAGAAAGTCTTTCTGAAGTCTAAAGTTTTTCCTATGTGTGTGTGCATATGTGTATATAGGTTTATTAAATTGTTAAAATCTGTGATGTTAATGAAGACATTTTGTTGTGTTTTATGGTATTTCTTTCCTGTGCATGTGCATATTTTTTTAAGTGCACACTCAGCTTTAGAAACAAAGACATAGAAAGGTTGTTTATTATTSCAGATTCTTTTTACTCTGGTGTCTAATAGCTGTATTTGTAAACTGACTTGATTATATAAGTTGAAGTTATTAAAAAACAGTTGTTGTGTTATGTCCTTTGGAATAGCATTTGTTTTACTGATTAAAACCAGGAAACATGGCTTTATGTAATACTACTCACAATATATCTTATTTTTCTCATTTTTTAATGTCACTTTTCCAAATGAGTCATTTTTGTATCAGGTGATTTTTTTATTTTTGAATCTTTCCGTTGTTCCACGGCAGGACTGTGTGAAAGTGGGGCAAGTTCCAGCCTTTCACAAGGGTCAGCTGAGCTGTCTGGCCCTTTGAGCAGGGTGCTGGGTTTTGCTTGGTTCAGTTATACACCCCTCATTTAGGCTGCAGACCTTAAACCTAATGCATGTGAGTAGACTGTACTGCGTGTATATGCCATTAAAATATGCTTTGATAACATTTGTGAGCTAAAGTCCATTAACATAAGGAAAGTATCTTGTTTCTGAATTAAAGGTACATCCTTGTAAGATTTTTGCCTAGTATCTCAGGAGTGGTTGATTGTATCGAGTCCACAGACTACCTGTAACAGAAGTTTGGGGTGGGCTTTGGCTTATTTATTTATTTATTTTTAACTTGAAATGTGTGAGTAATCTGATTTTTATAGGGCAGATTAAGACTGTCCCTTAGATCTCTTGACAAAGATAAGTTGGCTTAGTTGTTAATGAGCCTTTTCCTGGTATGAAGGGATAAGTGTGAAAAGGGGAGCAGAAATCTCCCTTTGATTATGAACAAAATCCTTTTGATGGTTTCAGCAGTGTAAGGATATTGTTGAAATCAGCAGCYAGCTGGGGTGTTGGATGACGCTTGAGTGACCTCTTGCATTCTTTCATTAGATGTTTCATTTCACCTATTTTATTAGTTAGCTGCTACTATTAACTGCTAAAAACAAATGTAGGTTTATGAGTCTTGGTAATGACATTGATTCTTCCAAGGCTGGATCAAAGCAGTAAATGATGCCAGGTGAAATGCATGCTGAAAGGTCATCTATTTTTTGTTGTTGTTGTTTAGCCTACAAGCCCCAAGTTTGGAAAAGCAGACTCGTACGAAAAACTGGAAAAACTTGGAGAAGGGTCCTATGCTACAGTATACAAAGGGAAAAGCAAGTAAGTGTATTTTTTTCGTTTCATTTTCTGTGTAAGAATAATCGAAAAGTATTAATCAATGTTGCAGCACTTGTGTAAATAACCTTGTGAATGAATGCAGAAAGACAGAGGCTGCAGTGAGGCTTTGCTCTCATGTTGCATAGGTAATGTTCCTTTTATAGCAAAGTGAGGTCCTGCTTTGTTAATCAGTTTTTTTATTTGTACATTGTTGTTTTATTACTTAATATCTATTTTGATGCAAGTTATGTTTAAGTGTGCACATGCAATCTATCGAGTTCATTTTTCTGATGTTCTGAGAGCAATGCTGAATAAATGCAGTGGTTTTATTGGTCTTTGTTTGTTGTTGTAGGAACCCAAATAAAATATCATGAAGTGATTAAATGGAATTTTAGACTATAGTTTATTTACAAGATTAGCCGGTAGGGATAATGCTAAGATACATTTTAACAACTGTGCCTGATGTATACATGTTAAATATAGAGTTTTCAGCCATTTTAACAATATTTCTTGTGATTTTAAATTCCCATTGACCTAAGCACTTTATATTGTGCAAGGTAACTCAATAAACACCCTTAAAATACACTGCTTGAGCTAAGGCTGCAAGGCTTGAGAATTACCTTTGTCAGGCAGCCTACTTCGTGGTATAAAGCTCATATGTTTAATCAAGTTTTATGAATCAGACTTTCGGTAATAATATAGCAGTTCTTATAATTATGATATCCTTATTTAAAAATTTTGTCCAGTGAATGATGGATGAGGCAAGTTAACATTCTCAGCAGAGAAAATATTGTGATAGCCATGGGACAGAGTTACTACTGAAATAGGGAAATAAATTTAACATTCCAGGGTCATCAAGCTACATAGGTACTGAAAATTATTTTTTCACTGAATATTTGTAGTAAATCAGAATGAGAGATGTCATTTCTCGGTAGCTTTGAGATTAATGAGTACAATGATACTGGGCTGATATGAATAAAAGTCTTCCCTAAATATAGAAGAAGTATTTACAGCTCTGCCGTGTTGGTATAGGTGTTTTCTTTCAGCTTTCTTCAAAAAGGGCAGCTACAGTGTATTGTTAACTTTCAGTTGCCTGTCACCATAAATACCAGACATAATACACAATAACCAAGCTTTTTTATTAGGGTTTAAATAATATGAGAAAACCATATGGATTTCAGCTGTGCTTTGTAACTAAAACCTGTTAGAAAAAGATCATGGCAGCGTATCAGGTGATAGTTATCCCATATGCCTTGATTTTCTGCATGCTTGAACTGAGAAAACTGGGTTGCTTGATGGCCTCTCAGGCCTCTCAGTCAGTAGAAGTGACAGCTTTGTCTAAAATGTTAGATACAGAAATATTTCCTAGCACCAGTTGTAGGTGCACAGTGCCAGACTGGTCTGCACCGCCCTGTTCCCCTGGCCATCTCCTTATGGGGAGAAAAATGGGCATACAAATCAAGAGAGTCTTGATTTGATCTGACTGAAGGATTGAGCCTGTGTGGCACACTGCAATACACACTTTAGACATAGCAGGTAATGGTAATATTTATGAAAAATTATGAAAGTGTTTGAGAATCTTCAACTATTTATGAAAAATATGAAGTGTTTGAGAATCTTCAACTCTGTGACCTTAACTGTAGTTGAAGATGGAGAATTTAAATTTTACTGTCTCCATGAGATTAAGCTGATTTGAATCATACTTCGTACTCAGAATTATTGTGCTGTCTATTTATCACCAGATACATATGGCAAGTGGTGGTGTTTTTTTTTCTTGTTTGTTTTGTTTTTGGTGTATTTCCTGAGATATATAGATACCAAGGTAACAGAAGTGGAGGTGATGTGAAAATTCTAGCTATGTCTCTTAGCGTAAAACATTTATAAACTGAAGGAAAATACAACTTTGAAGAATTTAATGATACATTTGCTGCTAATGGCATTCTGTGGCAAAATGGAGCATTGTATGYAGGCATTAGTTTATTAGCCCTTCAAAAGTCTCCCCCATTTTCTCATTACCAGGTTAATGCAGGGTGCTGTGGTATTATTATGGGATTTCCAAACCCACTTGCTATTTCTTGCTTATATTTCACTTATAGATTCRGTTGCTTGATAGTATTCTGCAGTAATCAGGGATTCCTACTTTATTTTATGGACTGATCAATACAGCYTTCATAGACACACGTGCAGCTCCCAATTCGAGCTTGTTCCATCAAACAAAATCTCTTTTTGTTCTTGGGCTTCTGGAATCTAGGAAAGAAAAGCCTTTATTTACATTGCAGCAAGCTGGAGTGGGAGAGAAATAGAAAAAAAATCTATTTCATTTCAAAATCCATTTTTTACACATTATAAAAGTGACTGCTGGCTTTTTCATCAACATATCACATTTCTCTATTTGCCTCTCAGCTCGCTTGGACAAGTTGCTCCCAGAAGCATCTCATGTTACTGAGCATTGGTTCTTTGTGTAAAATGGTTGTTTCTGTGCATGTTGGAAAGACCATTGGAAGGTGCAAGTACCAAAGACCAAAGCAACCAACCCTTCAAGTGGTTGGAAAAGAAGGGAAGGACCTTGCATATCAAATTTTGAAACAAAGTTAAACTTGATTTCAGATTCTAAAGTTTCTAAAGTAGAGATACCCAGGGAGATTGCCTTTTAAAAAAACCTTTAATAACCGTTGTACTTAGATATCTTCCTCTTTTTATTTATTCCAGTGTATGTRTTTTAAGCAAGGTATTTTACTGAACAAGGCACTTAAATATACTGCAGCAAGAATGTCTAAGATCTGATGCTGCAAATAGTTGAATTTTACTTTATATAAGTATAAATATATACGTATACATTTAACTCTAAGAATGGTAGTCCATGTTGATACTTGAATATTGTTAACTAATTATAAGAAAAAGTTTGAGAAGGAGGAAAGTAGATGATGGATTTCTCTTTTTGCAGCCAGCTATAAATGATTCTTTGGAGTGTGAGGATGCTGTGGAGTGTACAGGATTGAATTATTGAGAGAAGTAGAACAGTCTTCTACTGTCTTCTTCTTCTTCTGTTGTTTAACAGAGAAATAGCCCAACAGCCATTGGTTTCTGCCTGCCATGGGCGCTAAGAGGAAAATCTATTTCTGTGCTCCCATGTTGAGCTTCAGGCCTGCATATTGAGAACTTGTCTTGGCGTATTCATTTGATTCTCCTTAAAGTTCATTTCTCAAATTTGGACTTGTTATATACCTCTGAATGAACTGTATAAAATCCTCACAGTCTGCTTAACACATGTATGGGCTGAAATTCAGATCTCTCTGAAGAGATTTTTCCAAGTTCCTCATTATTGTGGAAAGAGATCTCTTAGTAACAGAACAGAAATAAACATGCAATGTAAGGTTATGGCTTAACTCTTTTCCCCATATACTTTTAGTGGAAAATGTTTCTGTATTTGAAAGCAATGTGCAGAAAATAAATATTAAAGCAGTAGCATCTTTTCAACTTTCGTATGTATCTTTTTACAGATGAATTTAAGAAAAAGCTGATTATCTCTACAAGCATGTGTATCTTCTTGCTGCTACAGACTCTTGGGGTTGATTWTGAATTTACCTGACTTCCCAGCAATGGTATTTCACTTGATCAGTGACAAATGARTAGTGGACATGAGCCTTTGGAGTGTGGTTAAGAAGGCAGGATCAGGAGAGGAGCTGATTCTAGTCAGGGCCCCCCCCTTGCCTGGTGTGCAGTCACTCGGGGAGCTTGGTATTAGGGAAAAAAAGTGGTTTGGGCAACATTATGAGCTGGCACAGTTGCCATCATCTGCCCTCACTTTTCAGTTGCTCTTCGAGCTGTAGGTAAAGGATTAGAAAGGATTACCCCCATTAGAATGATGTGATCTGTGGCTGCTGCTTGCCCAGAATCTGTGTTTTGAGGAACAGGTGAGTGGGAAGTCTGCTACTTCTGCAACCTTGGGATCTCTCTGTGATCTCTATTTTTTKCTTGCACATATTAATTCTAGTGTATTAAGCACCTTTGCTAACTACTGTGTGCTCAAACTACTGCAAAAATGGATAAAACAGATGCAGTTGACAAAAAACTGTCTAAAATCCCTCCCACAAAATTTATTGCTGCCATGGTGAGCTGTAACGAGCTTTACCTGCCTTTGGCCATATTTCACGTGTGTGTTGGTTCATGGCTACTCACAAGAAATAAAAGACTTAAGYGCTTCGTTTTTTTTATATTTATGGAGCTAAAACATCATCGAGGATGACTGATGGTGCTGACTGTTCTTTGCTTTTTCTTTTAGTTGCACATTTTCTTTCCCTTTCTATCATGAACGCCCCTTGACTGCTTTCGCTGTCTTTTCTCTTGCTTTATGTGCAATCTGTTGGAAGTGCTGTAGGTTGCTGACAGCCTARAGAGCTTGCCATGGGTTTGCCCATCAGACTTGCTCTTTAGTCACTCCCCTGTTTGCYGTGTGTCTGATGTTCATGTGCTTCCCGAGACATTTCATGTGTTGTGACATTCACCAATAATAAAATTTTCATCTTTTTGTCCAATTTAGTCTTTCAAAATAATTTGTGAAGTAGTTWATCTTGCCTTAGTGACCTAAATATTCCCAACCTTTTCTTTTCTTTCTTGCAAATTGTTTGTCATTTGCAAGTAAAACTGTTTTTGGCTTGGAGTTGTTGAGGAAGTAACGATATTGATGGATTATGAGAGGCACTTCAGAGCTGCCTCCTTGAACTTCCTAATTTCTCTTTTTTTAACTGCCATTCTTGCAGTATTTTAGCAGGGTGCTTTTCTGTAATATGTTTTGAAGTCGTGACGTGGGTTTATAGAGGGAGTAAATAGATGTTTTTAAAAATCTCAAGCATTATAAATCTTTCAGAAAGACAATAGCTTTGAGTTGAGCTAGATGCCAACTAGCGATAACTAGATGCTGGRCTGAAATGCCAAATGGTGGAAATAAAAAGCAGTTAAAGTTAAAATAATGTAAGTACTGGAAGTAGTTTGTAAATAGTTCTTCCATCTGAAAATAAGCTTAAACCTATTTTTAAAACCATGAAAACCTGAAGAATCCAACTAAAGAGTAGGTCACTGACTGTATTGATCACTTTTCATTGAATGAGTGTCTTTGCACTCAAAGGAAGCCCTGGTAGGTTTTCGATACAGGCACACAAAGGAGAAGAGCACTCGATGCTGTGCTTCTGCATATGTAGTTTTAAAACTTACCAGTTTTCACCGAGCCTACAAAGTACTTTACAAGCGCAATGAGACATCATCTCTTGTGATAAAGGAGGGGAAACCAAGRAAAAGAGGTCTTGGAGGTAAATGTTCTGATTCTGCTTCTCTGCGCCTGGGAAAAGCTGCATCCCTGAGTTCCAGTGACAACACTATTCAATAATTAAGATCCTGCATAGATTTTAGGATGCTTTCATCTTTTTTTTTTTCTCAGTCCTAGTAAATGTCAACATTAAGTCTCTAGTTTCTTTCAAAATAAGGTGCTTTTTTAAAAATGGAGGTTAAAATATGGTTAAAGTCAGAAAGAGAAATTGTTATTCTGTGGAATATCTTCCCTTTTACAGCTGTAGCAGAACTGTAAATATACTCTGTAAATTATAAATATAAGTCTTTTTTTATACAGTATAATGAGTTTTTACATATCTTTAGTGTTAATGACTTAAAGAAATGTTTTTCCTAATATGAAAATATTAGGAAATATATTAATATATGATTTTTTACTCTTTGGTGGAATAATTTGAGGTGACTAAACTGACAGTGATTTTGTTCTGTGAAGTTTCCTTCAAAGGAAAATTCTGCCAAAGCCAGTTTTGGCCACTGTCTGGTTTGCATTTTAGAAGTCTGGGATGTTAGTATAACTGCAGACTATATTTGATAAGGTGTTTTCTGCATTTGAACACCATTCTTTGTGTTTTCCATGTAAATGAATATAAAAATTAATGACTTGAAATAAAGYATGAGGAATACAAGCACCATGGCAATACAGTCTGATTGGTTTTCTTTGCAGAAGTCTTCCCAAGCTCAGGACTTGCTCGGGCTAGGAACTGAACCTCCACTGCAGCCAGCAGTAAAACTCTTTATAATAGAAACAGATTGAAATCAGAGGGACAGTTGTTATATTAATTGAATCATTTAAAGACATTCTATAAATATATCACATCTAAATTTAACTGAAGAACTGSTGAAGATAGTGCTAATTTCATCCTTTTTTCTCTATGTGGCATTGTCAGCCTTATCCCAAGGAAAGCCAGTTCAATCATCAATTACTTTATATTCATAAATATTATATTTTCTTAATGATGCATTAAAACAATTCTAATCTATATTTTCTTGGAAGTGGTGATTTGTATCAATGTATTTTGGCGCTGATCTGTGCTGTTTTAGGAAATGTTGACACTAGATTAGAGTTTTTTTATAACATCTGACTCATTTGTATTTTTTAAAATATACAGACTTTTACTATATGCCRCATAAAACTATACAGAGATATTTTTATTTTGTCTATTTTGCATATGAAATCTGAAATTAAAGGTATTTATGTGCCATTAAAATGCTGAATTCTCAAAAATCTATAATCTGTCAATCAGCTGCTAATGATTTTCCTAGACAACACAATCCCTTACTACAGTCACTTTGTGTGATGTTTAAGAGAAGCTTCAGGACTTCTCTCCATTTTTGTGTGAGAGATTTTTGTATATGAGAAAGGAAGAGGAGAGTCAGAGAGAAAAGAAATCTTTTAGTTAGGAAACAGCTAAAGCTTGTAAATGAAAACATAAGGAATGTTATAATCAATGTTATCCTTGACGGTTGACAAGGATGGAGGGAAGCTACCGGGATCAGTGAAATCCCTGTCCATGTTCAGTGAGTTGTTGGGAGATGCTCGGCAGCCGTTTTCTTTGGGCAGTGAGCGGTGCTTCCCTGAATCCCAGCTCTTAGGATGGGCAGCGGTGTCCGCCTGTCCCCGGCGGCAGGGCYGGCTGCCCAGCATTTTGACGGGAAGAAAAATACGGAGCACTTGGAAAGCTGCGGAAGTAGAATATGAAGCATGACAAGAGTTTGGCTAATCTGTGCACTATTGAAGGACACCAGAGGCAAATTCTAATAGGTTGCAGAGCTTATTTTCCCCATGCCTCACTTTTCTAAATGGTATTTCTAAGGAAATTGCTATATTCTTTGGGCAGGTTACTGCAAGTTTCAAGGCATAATTTCATGACATAGCTGATTTAATTTTGTGGCTAGCTGCTGCACAACTAGGTGGTCCCCATGCTTCTTCTCAGTCTATTTCTGGCTTTTTATATAAATGTGAAAAATGCTTTTAGCACTTGTAAAATATGCCTTAGGCTTAAATAGGTTCTGTGAAGAATGGTCGATGTTACAGGACAGAGGCTGAGCGTGTGCAGGGATTTAGCAGGGGTAAGTACATACCCAGMTGCAGCCAGTAGCTCATCTGAGCAGTATCATCTAACTGCACCCTGAGATTGCATCAGTGGGAGAACAGTTGAAGGATGTGCTCGTCTGTCCTTGTTTATTGATGATACTTAGCGTCTCTTGTCTTCATATTTACACTTAGAAATTTTCACATTTGTAGAAAATGAGCTGAAGAAACCAAGGTTTTTGGAGGTAAATATTACCAATGGGGAGAATGCAGTCCCAGTGGAACACTTATTGAGATTAGTTCAGTCATTTTAATACTATTAAGCRTTGCCCTGATGTCTATCAAGAGGGTGACAGCTACTGATGGCAAAGTGGCAGTGATAACTACATGGCACAGCCCACCCCTTGGTCTATTTAATAACACTGTGTAATTTTGCATTCATCAAAGTCAGTTGTATACTGTTGCTGTTTGTGTTATATTTTGCTATTAATGGATCAGTGAAATATAGAACTTCAGATTAAGAAGAGCATAATCCTGATGTCTCTGCATACTCTCAAATTGCATGAGAGACATCCTACACCCTACATCTCCACATCCTGCATCCTTAGTGCCTCTTTGGTCTCCTTTTTCCAACATGTTCTGCATTGCCTTATCAGAATGGAGTGAAGAGAGACCCTGTTCTTGATCTGCAAAACCATCTTGTTTAGCCTCATCGAAATCCCTCCTGCAGTTATTTCATTAGTTGTACAAGAACCAAAAAAATTAAATGTCTGAATTGCTTTTATTTACATGATAGGCAGGTTGATTTGAAAGCTACAGATCTGTGTGTACTTAACATCAGTCTTTCTGCTTCTGCTTTTATTACGGTTTATGCTTATATCTGTGTGTGACACAAAGTTACTAAGGCAGGGTTTGTTTTTCCTAATGCTGGAAGAAGCTTGGTTGGAGTCTCAGCAGCAACATATATAAAGCTGTCATAAGGGGAAATTCAGATAATCCTCTAGGAATAAGCCAATAATTCCCTGTCAACAGTGACTGGTGGCCTGAGACTTGAGCTGATTCCGATCTGCAGTATTATGAATGATTGGAAGGTGATAAGTAAACARTCTTTTTATAATCAGGCTCCCAAAGTTGTTTACAGAATCATTACAATACACTGTACTAGTCTAATGAGATTCCAGCAGTAGAGAAAGATAATCAGAAGAAAATGTACAGTAGCAATCTTGTCATTGAAGTTGTCTGACTGAAAAAATAAAAAGCTTGAGGAAGAAGATGAATTCAAACTTGGTAGGTGTCGGTGTCGTCTTGCTTTGAAAACTGAGKGTACTTCCTAGGGTCCAGAGCAATAGGGAATTGCCTCCATGACCACAGGAGAGTGGAAGCTCCTTGGTTTCCCTTGAGCTCTGTGGCTGTAAGGGATAGGAGGGAAKAAATTTTGTAATGATCCTTCATATTTAGTGACTGTTTTTTGCCCTGTCAGGAATCCCCTATTTTTTTCAGACTTGGAGAGTCAGTCAGAAGTTCAGGGATATGGGTTTGTTCTTGAGGAGGGTAATAGCTATCAATTTTTATACCTCATTCAGTTATTGAGGAGATTTTATTTGGATAAATTGAACCAACTTTTTTTTTTTTTCTGTAAGGCCTTGAATGGGGAGAATGTGAAGGTCTGAATGCTACTAGTGAAGGCAGCCAAATACATTTGAAAAGAGATTGACTTCGGCTGTGAAGTTTTGTCTCTTGGAACATAAAGTATTTTAAATCATATAAATGGGATTTATTATAATCTAAAATGAGCCTGGGCTGTTTCTAATTGTAATTCTAATTCTAATATACATTAGAAACAATACTTCCCTGAAGAGAAATGATCAGAATGACCTAACAGATATTTCTCATCTCCCATACCCTTCACTTTTGGAGRACAGTAGTTATAGGAGGATGAAGACAATTGATATAGGTGTGCATAAACTCTAAGGAGAATGGCTGATGAAAATTATATCCCTTTTTGTTGGAACAATTTGATCAAGTAAAGGACAGATGCATTAGAACCATATTTTGCAATGTGATACTCCTTAACAAAGCTTCAATTTAGTGCTGTGATAGAAAGGAAGCAGACTGACTCACAGAAAACTGAGATCATTTCTTGGATTGCTTGTGAGTGTGAAAATATAAAGTTGACATTTTGGAAGCCATGGAGTATTTCTTGCAAAGCTATAAATGAATGACTGACATTGACAGGAAGAAATTGAATAAGTACATGATGGGCAACAMGCTCTATTTATAAGAAATACTGTTTCTGCTTTAATTTTGTGTTTTTTATTTCTCCTTCTCCCTCCCCTCTTTCTCTCCTAGGGTAAATGGGAAGCTTGTGGCACTGAAAGTGATTAGGTTACAGGAAGAGGAAGGAACCCCATTTACAGCTATCAGGGAAGGTATGTGCTCTCATTTAATGATTATACATGTGCTTTTTTAATTATGTTGCTTTCTCATTTCAGTGGCATGCAATGGTGAATAGCTTGAGAATTCAAATTGCATGGTTATGTTCTCTTGTTGGCAGAAACTTCGGTGCTCCAGAAACAAATCTTTTCTTTGGTGTAGGGGCTCTTGTCAGATATAATGCAACTGTGCCTCTGCTTTGGCTTGCCTTAGATTTACTAGACAAATGAGTACCGAAGAGCGTGTGCAAGTTTAAGGTGGGTGTGAGAAGTTAATCTGCCTGGGGAAGGAGCTCTATGAGTTGTGCTTCTTGTCTGGAGGCAGCACCTAAAGTGAAGGTAGATGCATATTTTTCACATGCCTGTGACCTGAAGAAAATAAATGCATTTCTTGATTGATAGAGCCTTCGAAAGAGCCAAAGGATCTGGAAGCAAAAAAGACAGGTTTATGAAAAGCTTGTTGKTTTTGCGTGGTTTGGCTTTACGTTTTGTTTCCCCACTGAGCCTGCCCTGCGCATCTTGGGAATGGCTCTTGTCTAGCTCACTGTGAGATGTCCGTCACACTGTCTGCTCCGCTCCATTTATCCCTYCCTGTCACCTCTGCTGTGTTCCCTGGTGACAGCTGCTTTATCAAAGCCCGGTTGCCTCAAGCTGCTCTGCAGAAACGTGGTTTGTGCCTTCCCTGCGTGGGCCTCCTGTGGTAGAAGGGACTAGAGATGAGTTTTGATAGAGAAATCAAAAATAATGTGCCTTTAGATCACTGATTGGAAATCAGCTGAAGGTGGCTGTGAGCTGAAGTGCTGAGTCTGCTGCAACTACTCAGGTACTCTCTAAGATTAGCCTGACTGTTGTACTGCAATTCCTGAGGCAGGGAAGAGCCAAGAGCTTATCAGAAAGCTGGTCCACAGCACGGACCCCTATGCTGAGAGTGCCACGGGCATCCGAGTCAACGACCTCATGGCTTTAACTCCAACCGACCTTGTGTTGCCCTTGCCATTTTAGAGAGGCCTCCCTCATGAAGAAGAATGGGGAAAAGGCAATTTATGAGGGAATTTAAGCATTTCTTCTGTACTGCTTTGTTGGAATAATAGTTATTGGGTGATGTGACATGTTTATTCATAATGATATATATTTCATCTGTGAGTTGTCTGCTCCCGCAGCTGTGCCGTGATAACGAGGTGTGCACGGGGTTAGGAGCACAGCTAGCAACGTTTGTAATGCCAAGTTCAAGGCTTAACAGCCTGGGTTTCAAATATGTTTATTGTTTTGCAGGTTTTTCAGTTGAGCTGGTACTGACTTAATAACTGAATAGTAGGTTTTTTTTTTCACCTCTTTACTGACACTTAAAAGGCTTCTTAATGTGAGTTTGGTCTGGGTGACAGAACCTGTCATTATAACTGCCAAACACAGGGTAATGATTTTTTCCTTTATAAGCAGTTTGTGAGGCAAGCTCAGTTTCTTTCAGAAAAAGTAAAAGAGATTTACCTCTGATTTTTATTTAAATTATAAAGGCATTATTTTATGAAAGTACATTTCACATTATCATTGGAGAAGTTGTGCTTTTGTCTATGACTAGAGTGCTGTAGTTGAAGCTGGTCAGAAATCCTGTACTTAATGTTAGTAAAACAAATGTCTAGCAAGACTCTTAAAATTATTAGTTCATATATACAGATACAATTCTATATAAAATATATAAAGACTGTGGTGTTATTGTGATTTGCAATGTGGAAAATGTGCATTGGCAAAATGTGATTTTGCTGGCATTATATATGTGTGTTGTGTTTTTATGTACACATCTAAATAGGCTGGGCTGATAGAATAGGTCTGGGACTTGATCTGAAATATATTACATTAACGAGTTTCTTTCCTGACTTCTGTAGGCTTTGGGTTGGGGACCTAATTCAGGTCATAGTGGCTTTTTTATTCTTTTTTCTTTTTTTTTTTTTTTTTTTAATGCAATCCTGTCTTCTGTCTGGTGGAACTTTATACAGATCTATAGGATCTATCAGTTTTGTACAGTTTTGTGTTTTTTATAGTGTGTAGAAGTTGGACATACATAATGTGTAAGATGCAAAGGGGAAAAATCTGTATCGAGATTTTCTTTTCTTGTCTTTGTTTTTTATGTCAGTAACAAATGTGAGGCCCAGAGAAGTAAAGAAGCTTACCTTACCAGGCTAGGTTTCGGAGGCTAATCTGGATGATGTTGTGCCAGACTGGTATTAGTTGATAGTAATGCTACCTACAGCTCTGGGCTTAACTGGAAGGGCCGGAGGAAGCTGGAGCTTTCCCCTTAGCAGCACCTAATCCATCTTGAACACATTTGGTTCTGTCAGGCAGGAGGGGCTGATCTCAGCAGCGGGAGCAGGAGGGAAATGCTTGTCTAAGCTCCTGAAGCTGCTTGGAAAGGCTGAGGCTGCGAAGCAATAAGAGCAGAGCGCTTAAACTGCTAGGAGACTTTGCTTGATCCCTGTTGGGTAGCCGACTGGTTCCAGCCCTATAATTTAGATTGGAGTAAGTAGAATTAGTACAGCTACCACTTAAGATGAGATCAATTCATCTGGTAACTCACGTGCGTTGTCTGCAGAGTCGCGTTGGCCTAATCGAGAAGTGGCTGGATGGTCTCACGAGGCACAGCTCTGTTGGGGCATTTCACTCAAGTCTTTCAGAATCGAGAAGCCAGACAGATTTTGTCTTTGATTTATTCCTTATTTTCTCATTTTCTATCAGTTCAATGTGAATTCAAACAGAACTTGAATTATTTGTAGRTTAAAACCAGTGCAAATTAATTGTTTAACCTTTCTTAGGGCTCCAYGTGTAAATGGGTGATAGGTAAACAGCATTCCTGTGCTGTGTTCCTGTTGGGGATGTTGTGTGATGTGATCTGGGGCAAGTTAGAGACTGAAATCTTAAACAGTGATCATGCTGAGGGAATTTGGTAGCTATCTGTGTGTAGGGAAGCCCATTGCTCCTACTGTGGCAGCAACAGAATRGGACTCAAAGGAAAGAATTCATAAAGGCAAGATATTAAGACAAGTAGCAAAATGTAGATTTTAAAAATGKGATCTGTGACTGGGGAAAAATTGCATACTGAGTTGAGACAGAAATGGAAGAAAAAGGGCTAAAATAAAACAGTAAATGTTGATTAGGGAAAAAATAGTAGCAAAGCAATGTAAGGAAAATCATACTAAATTTTAAGCACCTGGTGAGATTTTGTTAAGACTTCAATTAAAGTTCCTACTTAAAGTAATTGTGCTTTTACAGCACATCTAGTTTGGGGTGTTGGGCCAATTATCAAGTCACGTAGCTGTGTGTAAAAGCAGATAGATGTATATAAAGGCTTATTAATTAGTGCTGCTCAGCAGTTTCTTCATTTCCTAGTACCAAATTTAGAGGTAGTCCGTGCTCAACATCCTTTGGGCTTGCTCTGTGGTGGTTACACTTACGCTTTCTTTGACATGCAGTTCACTGGATGTTTCGCTGTGCATTCAGTTCACTGRTTCATGGATAATCTAATTTGCTGTTGAAGATCCGGAGATAGAGCAGCAAACACAAAAAAGTAACTAATTGGAGAGGCTGTATATTTACACACACACGACTGAGTCGAACGTACAGGATTTTCTGGTCAAACAGATGTGCATGATGCCAACCTCACTCCTATCTGTGTCCTCATTGTTGCTATTCTGTCTGGGAAGTGCCTGCARCTCTTGTATCCGAGGCAGTGATGTCTGGAAATGATTTCTATATTATTTTCTCATTTAGAATTGTTTTAATAAAATAAAGATTAGCAAATTAATAGAGAACTAATGTTTTTCTGTGTTAAGTGTAGTAGTGGTTTAATCTTTTAATGTAACTATCAACCATACAGAGGTATTTTTAGCAGTAGACTTATATGTTATTAAAAAGACTGTAACCAACAGAAAAGTTWATTGACCTAAAGTGCATCTCACATATTTCCTTCTTCCAATTGCCTGTATAATACCATACTCTGTTGAATATTGAACTGTGTGATAGATTCTAATTCTGGGAACAATTAGTGCATAGTTACCTTGTTTGATTTCTGAGTAATAACATTCCTCATATCTAGTATGGAATGKATTCCCCTTTTTAGATAYGTACATGGATAACTATCCCTTGGTTTTATTGCTACCTTGTTGGTGCAGTTAACTTGCTTACTATGTCCCTTTTTTGGCAAAGAAAGTATTTCTTCTCCATCTGAATTGTGACAGCTGTTTATGTTCAGTGTTCATTTTCCTTCTTTGTAAATATTTCATTTTGTGTTTTTATTTTGTAAATAATATTTGCCCGCTTTGCTTTTTTTCACTATTATTATTTGCTTTTTTTACTATTATTAATAAAATTATATTTTAGTGTTTTAGTTTCTGCTAATATTTTATTTCTCAGACTTTTTCAAACATAAAACAGGAGTGTTTTGGAGGCACTTTTATACATTGCCATTTAAATGTCATGCCTACCTTTTGGTCTCTTTTTTTTTCTCTTATTTTTCTTTTATTTATTTATTGCAATTAATATGTATATGTACTTGTAGTTTACATTTAAAAGTGCTCTGATCAGAGACTGCCTCTATCTMTTTGGTTTGAGGGCTGTTTTTCATCTAGTCCAGAGTCAAAGGCCACAGACCTTAATACTACCTATATGTAGCAATATGAAAAATAACCCACAAATGTTCTTGAAACAGACTCCTATCCTGCACTGTAATGTCCTGAAGAGCAGAATAAATTTATTTATCTCAAATCTTTGAAGAGAATTTCAGTATCAATGCTGAATTATTTTGTGACCTGTGGGAGAGAACTGAACGCATCTGTTTGCTGTATAGARGAAGGATGTGATAGATGCTCAGTTCTTGTCTAGAAAACATCTTCAGAGATCTCCAGTAGTGTCAGACTTCTTYCATCCTTACTGGTGAGGATAAGAGTAAGAGTTGACTGCCTTGCCGTGACAGAAACGTTTCTGAGGTGAGAGGTGTTAATACAAGAGCA